TATATATAATTTTATAAGATAATGATAGTTAAATGTGCAATAATATTTTATTACCACAGCGATTTTGTATAAACAAAATATTATTTTTAATTACTATTAGATTTAATTTATAGAGAAATACTCGACCTATATCTACAATTAAATAATAATAAATCTATGTTCAAGTGTTTTATTTAAAATGTTTTAATTATATAAATAATCTGATTTTTGTACAAAGAAATTAAGAAATATAAATAAAAACCGGCAAAGAAAAGAAGGTTGGAATCTCAGACTTTGATTCCTTCCGGTTCGTTTCCCACGCTTCAGACTTCCAACTTAATCGTGTTTAACCTTGAGAACTTGCCTTCTATGTTCCCTTAATTAATTATGCGAATCAGCAAGCCGTGCTAATTATTCCTCCTGCCGGCGTTAATTCCGGACTCAGAATCGGAAGTTGCTGACCCGGTCCTCTCGGTACGATAATCTCATGCCAATTAACGCTTAGAAGATATTTTCTTCTTAAAGATTATAAAGACAAACGAACCGGGGTATACTCATTAACAAGCTACTAATCAGCATCCAGATTTTTCTCAAGTCATTTTTGAATAAGACCATTGACCGTATCTTATATTCATCCAATAAATTTATTTCTTTCCTATTTTTTCTTTTTGTTATAGATTTTTTCAAAATGGAGGACCATCCAACGAGCTGTCTTCTTTTTTTAAGGTAAATCATTTTTGTGATATCAAATTTCTGTGTATTGCAATGATTCGTTATGGGATAAAATCACTCTAACTTTCCAAAAGATAACTTATTTTTAAAATTTTTTTTATAAGAATATGATAAGTGTTAGGAAAAATTTGTTTAAGGGATTTTATTGTATACACTTTAAACGAGATTTACAAATTTTTCTATTGCAAGTCATCACAAAATGGCAATAGCACAGTTCAGCAAAACTCACCTCGCATAGAATACAGTGTTTCGCAAAACTTTGACTGTTGGTTCACTTAAAATTTATTCTAGTACTATATAAATACATTATTTAGGGGAGGACGTAAAGGACTTGAATAAATATCAAATATTTATTTTTCGATGTAAAATATAACGAAAAATTATTCAGATAAAGAACAAAATTTATTGCATGATGTGAAATCCCTAAATATGAGATTAGCTTTGCTGAACTATGGCGCTCATTTTATGATTATTTGCAAAGAAAACATTTGTTAATGTTATTTAAAAGTGTGTATAATAAAATAATGTAAAAGAATGTTACACCTTACACCTATCATATTTCCAAAAGAATTTCTCAAAAATAAGCTATTTTTACAAACAGTAGAATGGTTTTACCCCCTTTAAAAAACAAAATGACACGTGGTGTATGCGAAGTTTGAATTTATAAAATACGAACACGAGAATGAATTCGTGATAGACCCATCCTCGTCCCTCGAAATTCGAGATGGAAAGAGATTCTGTTCAGTCTCTGGTGCATATGTACTCACGAAGTCACATTAGTGGCAAGCTATTTGATAGTTTGCCAAAAAAAAGACTACATGAATTAAAGTTATTGCTCGATGGATGGAATTTTTACACGTACTGTAAAATCCTCTCTTTCTCTCTCCTTTTCTACGAATATTATAATAATATATATATATATGTGTGTGTGTGTGTTTATTATCTTGAAATTATTTCCACATTAAATTATCTATTTATAAAATATATTTATTATATTACAGAATAACTTTATGCGGTATCTTCTAAGAAAAAAAATATAAAAAAAACCGCATAGAATTATTAACCAATCGTCAAATAGAATTTTTGTAATAAAATATCAGTCTAAAAATTGTATAATTAAAATAATTTATATCTGTCATTTGTGGGTTTGTATATAATGGGGTTTATTTTCAATTTATATTGAGTTGGGGAAAAAGTTTCGTATTTTAATGTAAAAATGAAAGAATTTTTTTTGTAATTTTTCCTATTCAACCTTCTTCAAATGATTAAAAACTGTGTTTTGTGGTTATATTTAATTTCTTACCGATATCATAACTGTTAACGTACCAGTCTTGCACAATGTTTTCCATCACTTCATCAGTACTAAAGTTCATTCATTTATCAAGAAAATACGAAGGAATTTTTTTCCCGATCCATGTTCTTTACTGTAAACAAAATTCATACAAAGTTACGATTCATATTTTTATAAAAAAAAAAAAAAAACAAAAAGATAAGGAATAAAAATAAATTTGTATGAATTGAAAATAATAATGCGTTTCAATTGAATTCTAATAAAAATGATTATCAGTCAACTTTAATATAAGAGAACTATCTTAAAAGATAATTAAATAATAAATTAATTAACCACAGTGTAGAAATTCCATAATTTTGTGATTTTTATTTCGTAAAAAATTAAAAACTCACAGAATAACTTTTACATAAAATTCTAATTTTAAATATTCCAAATTGAAAAATATAAAAACACATACGTGACATTTGAAATTTATTTGTTATAAATAAAAAAATACCATAGAGCATCATAGGAGTCAGAATAAATAAAATTTTCATCGAAATGTTTTACGCGTTTATAAGAATAATAATAAAAAAAAACCAATAAAAAAAACAATGTAATCTGTAACTACAATTTAATGTATCTTTTGTTTTAGAATACTTACCTAAGGATGACACGATGAGAGGTGAGTCTTTTTTTATTTCGTAAGCTTGACGACACGAAAAGAAGCTTTAATGTAGAGAGAAACGACGGTGTAAGTCTTCGTGGTTACAACTAGAACGGATTTAAATCGCATTTTGTGTACACCGATGACAAACACGTCACGAAATAACGTCTATTGCATTTCATCGATAATAATATCCTAGAATTGTTTGAATCGAATAAAATAGTTATGGCGAACCTTTTATTGGCAGCGAATCAAAATAAAGTTACAGAATTTTTTGTTATATTTCCGAATCATGGTTCAATATTTGAACATATGTGTCATTTAAAAAATTAAAATAAAATTTAATATCGAATTTTGATTTTATTGATTGATGATGTTACATATAATAAATTACATTATTATTTGATAAGTTTCATTTAATATTCGTTGTAGGAAATAAAAACAAAATTAAAATAAAATTATATTTAAAAATAATTTCGATATATTAAATATATTTTAATTATAAATTTAAACTTATATCATGGATTAAGGATTCGCCATAACTAAAACAAATAAATCTCGTAATTAAACATAAAAGAAAATTTTGTAGAAATAAATATATAAACGTACAAAACTAAAATGAAAATTGAAATATGCAAAATATGGAAAAAGCTTCTACCTTCGTAATCGTCTAGGCTCGTTTTAATTGAATTTCACTGCGAACAAGATTCCCTTTTTCCTCCAAGATAATAAAATTACTTAGAATCAAGATATCCACGTACGCGTAACGAGCTGTGGCACGCATCGCGAATCGTTGCACGCAATGCATCCTCGTAATTCGCGTGGAAACAGTCAAGGAAAAGGAGAAGAAAAAATGAAAGAAAAAAAAAAAAAAAGAAAATATTAAATATAAAGTTGCGGATAAGAAAAAAGAATAACACTTTAAAAACGAATTATAACTAGCGAACGAACCGAACCATATTTCTTAATGAGCGATTAAAAGATTATTACGAATTATCTAACGCAATGTGATTTTCCAATTTTTTTTTTACGGTTCGTGAAATCCTTATTTGATCTTAATTTAAAGATATTTTATGGAATTTTTCTATAGGAAATTTTTCAAACACGACTCTATAAAATATAATATAATTAAATAAGAATTCGTGGAACCCTTTGAAAGATTACTTGGTACCTTAAGATTCCGTGGGAACACAGTTTAAAGACCACTGATTTAATGCATTTGAAAACAAAAATAATAAACAATATTTTGTTTATATATTACACATATGTATGTACGCGTATACGTTTATTTATGTTTGTTTTTATACCTAATATATAAACATGAATCAAGTGAAGTAATCAAGAAATAAAGGATTACAATATCTCGAATGTCTTACGCAAGATAATACATCGAGCATAACGCAACATCTATGATTGTTTAAATTAACATTAAATTAATTAGGAATACTTTCTAAAATTAAATTTATAGGCAAAATATAATCAATAAGAAATTATTATATAATATAAAAGAAATCATTATTTATGGAATGTCTCAAAAAAAAAAGAAATAAATTCAATTACGTTTCACTTTAAGAGTTGCATTACATAAATACAATTTAATTAAAAGAAAAATGAATAACAATAATAATAATAGCAGTTCAGCTCTCCTAGTTGTAATAAAAAAAAAAAACTAATTAATTATTTAATAGATGTTAAATTTCATATCTAATAAATACGATTTAATTACTTAAAAAAGATATTAATTAAATAAATAATAATAACAAGAATAGCCGGTTACTTATTGGTTCAATAAAAAAAAAATAAATTTAATTAACTTGTTTATATTTTAAGAGTCGCATCAGATGCATCAAATTTAATTAAAGTTTTGTTTCTTATAAATTTAAAAAAAGAAGATCCAAGGTCACTTTTATATCTCTCAAAAAAAATGTATTTAAAAAAATCATATTGCATATCTTAAAATGTAACGTAATTTATTGCAAATTAATTAACACGTTTTTCGATACAATTAACAAATAACAAATAATTTTAAATAATAATTATTTAATTAAACACATCTCTCCTGCATATTATTATAAGCTACAGCAATTATAATTAAAAATTGATCAACTTAAACGATACGATATGGTAAATGAAAGAATATTTATTTTTTGTTTCTATTCTTCTTTTGTTTTTTGTTTTTAATTGTCACGTTAAACGGAGAAATACCAACGTAACAAATACACATATGCCTAGTATATAGAAATAGAAATATTATTTATGCATTTATGCGTATATACGTTGCATGTTTGTGACAACTGTAATTATTCGTCGTCAAGAGCACATTATCAGAGAGACGATACAGAAAACAAAAAAAAAAACAGAAAAAAAAAAAACAAGAGAAAATAAAGAAGAATGTCTGAACACTCCTTCAATAAAATTTTCTCTATCACAGTTGTAGATTGTGTCAAGCTAATCAATAATAAATATGGATAATCTCGAATTATTATTTCTGTATGGAGTTTAAATTTATTAATCAGTGAGGAGTATTTTCGATGCTTATTCGAATCAATCGTATTATACAACATATAAGATATATATATATATATGTATGTTTATGTATGTGTATAACCGTATATAAACACATAAAAGCATACACGTAGGCTCATATCTAATATTTAAAAGTAGGCTGTGTTCGTAGAATATCTGACGATATCGTATTTTTAATTTATTCGCATACGATATTTACTCGTTACAACGAGTTAACTGTTTATGGTCTACCAAAGTTATTGCAGAAATGAACGTATTCAATTTTAAATAGGATAATCGTATGTGTGTCGGTAATATTCACAGTAAATTGATAATAAGTGTAAACAATGGAAATATGTGAATTTAATATACGGTTTTATTTTATTTATTAAACTTATTTAATATTATTAATATTCATATATATATAAATCATCAAATAAATTTATATTATTTATTAGGTTTGTTCTTCCTTTTTTTTTTTCTTTTATAAACAAAATAAACATTGCTTAGCATCAGGCAGTGAATAAAATATTAAGATAATATAAGATAAGATATAGTATACACCATAAATTAAATTTCTTTTTCTTGTTTTTGGTTTTTTTTTTATAGATAATATCTAAGTAATTATTTTAGAAGAAGTATAAAGCCGAGATAATATAACAATTATTCTAAACATTTTTTTTTCTTTTAGGAAAACCACAAACTTATTCTAAGCAGAAATACGCAAAAACGATACGCGGAAAAAGATCGGGAGGTAAAACAAACAAATTTCCATAACATAGTATAAATATTAATGTTCGATGTTGATTTCACCAATTGTTCTTTCTTGCAAATCCATTTGTCCGAGAAAAGGCACCTCAATATTTTACATAAACGTATACGATATTACATATAAATAGTATTATGCAAACATTCCTACATTAAGTATGCACATTTTCATCGGTGTTTCGTTAAAGTTTCATTAGATTTGCATCATTATTTTTTACAAATATTCAAATAAATTTTTTTATACCAAAAGAATTCTTTCTGTGAACTGAATTGTATTCTACATTTTTAACTTACAATTAATCTTTCATGTAAAATCATCCTCTTCTCTCGCTTATACCACAAATTACAGGACATTCTGAATATACATTTTTTGTAATATATATCCTTCATATTTTTTTTTTCACCTATATATATTACCGTAAAAAACTTGAATTTTACACGAAATAACTAAACGTCTTAGGGAAAGCATTTTATTATACACTTAAGCTAGTTGTTGTGTTTTAGCAAATAACTAACAATAAGTAAAATATAAACTCACAAGAGATAAATAATTAAAATATAAGATTGATATCTAACCTATTTTAAAAATCTACCTTTTTTATTATACAAATGCTCATAGTAGTTCATTCTTATTTCTTCTTGTATTTTACAAAACAAATGTTCTGTTAATCATGCTGTTTCTATTATATTTAATTTCCTTTTCATACTTTAACAAACTCACCTTTCGTGAATTATCTATATTATCTAGTTAAAGTATGTAATTTTGCCTTTTTTTATACTTTAACAAATTAGTATAGTTATTTCATGAATTAACGGTAACATATATATCATTTTAAACATTTAACCAATCCACATAGAAGAACATATTCGTCCGTTTTACTGCGAAAGACTATCGATCCCCGTCTTCTATTACTATACATATATATATAACCATATTATATATATATGTTATATGCACATACATACATAAACATATATACACCGATACTTCGAAGCATGTCGTTGTTCTTTTCATGAAACTACTCGTTAATCGAGTGCACTTTCTTCTTCGATAATTTCACTAGAAACTAATGAGGGGGTCACGAATATATATATATATATAAAAGAAATGAAATACGTTGATTAAAATCAAATCTAATCGAATTAAATCTTATTAAATCAAATTCAATTAAATGGAATCTCAGTTAAAAAGAATAAAAAGAAGAAGAAGAAGAAAAAAAATAGATCGAAACGTTGATCTCGCTTTTAGTATCATTTGATTAATTTACATTTTAACAATTATATTTATTTTTGTTGATTATAAAATAAAATGCCGATTAATATGCAATTTAAATATTAAATAAAATAACATTAATGTGTACATACACACATTAATATATATTTATGAATATTTGTATCAGTTTTTCAATATAATATGTTTCCTGTTGCTATAATTTAAAATGCAATTGTAAGAAACGAAGTTTATATTTGAATTAATAAACCCACGTACTATATTGTTTATCGGCTCGTAATTATGAGAACATTATTCCACTAATAGTTTATCAGGAAAATTCAAACAAAAGATTAATAAGATCATTCATTGGATAAACCGCACATGATATCACATATACACAAATAATGCAAAAAGTTACCCCATCGAACCTTAATGATCTGAAATTAAATAATCAATTTAATTCGTACATTTTAATTACAACAACAAAATTTAATTGACAGAGCTTCATTTCTATTAGAGTTTATTTTGTTTTTATTCATGTTTTATTATTTATTAATTGATTATTTAATAATGCATGGCAATAAACAAAAATAATTGATGAAAGTAGAATGGTAATTTGTATAATAGTATAATATAAAAATTGTTTTATTGGTTGTTACTTATTTTACAGGAAAAAGATCACAGATATTAGGTATATTTTACTTTCTTTCTGGTTTTGTTTTTACATTGTTAAAATTGCTTAATTAATAATGCATAATATTAAAAATAATAAGATATAAATAATAAAATTAGCTTGGATGTTTTAAAAGTTCATCCATGTGTTAGTAATATTTTACAAAACAAGGACAATTTTTTATCTTACTTTAAGGGTTCGTAACCTTCCTACATAACTTGGTCCAATTAAAATTAACCAAAATCGAGATAAAAGATAATACTCAAGGATGTACCTACTTGAATTAAAAATACATATATTGTACATTAAAAAAAAGCATGTTGTAAGTGTATTATATTATGTAATAGTATATGTAGAGTGACTCTCAAAAATATTAGGAAACTGCAGTATTGATTATTAATTTAATAAATTTATATTTCGTTTGTTTAATAAACAGATTATTACTAAAAACAATAACCAGGATAATTACTTTATAAACAATCGAAATATAAAATTTTAAAATAGTTAATCACACTTCAGTTTTCAAATAAGTGTATTTAAATATTTCTATCGTTTCATCGTTATTCCATTGGTTTATTTTTTGATATACCATATATATATATTTAAGATTCGATTATGCCACACTGATCACTTTCTTTTTTCTTTATTTTTTTTATTTTGTTTCAGGAAAACGTATCTCGTTAACCCACTTATTTTGTCATGATGTTTCACAAGAATTTTCAAAAGTTAGAAACTCTTGTACATTACCTCCTATCTTATTTTCTTTCACTATCGTCAAATCCAACTAAAATCACTGGGTTTGACAAGAAATTTCATTGCGTTTCCCTCGTTATTACGTTGTGGAACGATTGTAGGTCGAGCAGTATATACTATACATACTATACATGAGTTTTGTCTAGTTATATACTCCACACTCAGTGTCAGACTCATGCTTTGTTGCATTTCATTACTGTGTGTTTCTTTCTCTATTGCGAATATGATTTCACTTATTAAGAACGTAACAGCACCTGAAAAAATATTACACATTGTTATGATCAGAAAATAAATTTGTGTACATGTGTGCGTGAGTGAGGATACGAAACAATTTTATTTCGATTAAGCAACTTCTTTCTTTTTTATCAATAATTTTTAACTAAATTTCAGAGATATTTATAATAACAGTGACTTTATTTTAAAATTTAGTACCGCGAGTAACTCTTGTGATTTAAAATAACGTTTATTTTAATCAAAAATATATTAATTTAGATATTAAGGAAGAAAATTTAAGTGATGCGTACCCCTATCTCGTGATATATCATTATATCACAAAAAAAACTAATAATATCAGATAATGTAGCTCCTTAAACCATTCAACTATTGTCTACCACATTTTTTTCTACCATCAACAGTTTTGGAAGATATTTAAGTAGATCGATTTAAATGGAACACCCTGTATATACAATATACAATATGATATAAAAAATGAATAAGAGGAAATAATTCAATTTTAAAGTAAAAAGTAATCTAAAAATTTGACATTGTGCGACACAGGGGTCACAGCGGTTGGAGTGGTGAGATCAGGTCGTGGTACTTTACTGAGGACACTTGTCCTCGTATTTCTGGCGACGTTTCTCTGGCTGCAGCTTCATGTGATCAGCTTAACCGGCGGGGACACGTCTGGACAGTCTTCGGCTAACGAGACGCTTTTTGCGCTGGTCCCACAGGAACTTCATAGGTTCGTTCTGTATTCTATTCTTATCAAATCCACCTTTTCAATATACAGTTACCATTAATATATATATATTTATTTAAATATATCAATAAGTAATGTCTACATATTTAAATAAATAAAATACATGCTATTGTATTTAAAAAAAGAAAAAAAAACAGAAAGAGAAAGAAATGATCGGTATTTTTCATTTAACCTTTGAGCCATGGAATTTTTATAAAATAAAAAGACTCATATTGCACAGAAAATTGTATTTCTTTTTTAATTGCACACAATGTTGATTTATTTTTTATTAATAAAGGAATAATATAATTTACACAAACATAAAAGAATAATAATAAAAATTAAATTACGTTTTTCGATATACAATGGGACTCAAATAGTCCTACCGTGCACAAAGGGCTCAAAGAGTTAAATAAATATTTTTCTTTTTTTCTTTTTTTTCCTAATAAAACATTTCAAAATTATTAATTGACTAAACTCAATCCATTAAGAAAAAAAAAATAATAACGAGAGAAAACAGTTATATCACAAATTAACTTACCACCAGAAGTTTCAATATTTTCTTTTTCTTTTCTTATGATAATTAATGAAGGTTCCTGAAAGAACGGCGTAATGCGTCTTTGACGTCAAGCAATGGAACTTCTGGCACGCTAACGGATCTTGAAATCGAGGAAATTCGTCGTAACATCGATCGGATAAACTTCGAGCAAAAGGTTTACAATGAGGAAGCGTTTGGTCCACTTGCCGCTGATGCACCGATCATCGTCGTCCAAGTTCACGTTAGGTTGACCTACTTGAGGCACCTGATCGTCTCTCTGGCACAAGCCAGGGGCATAGAACAGGCTCTTCTTGTTTTTAGTCATGACGTGTGGAATCCGGACATCAATTACTTAGTTCAGAGCGTTGACTTCTGTCGTGTCATGCAAATATTTTATCCACATAGCATACAAACGCATCCTAGAACTTTTCCCGGTGAAGATCCGAATGACTGTCCGAGAAACATTCACAAGGAACAGTAAGGAAATATTTAAATTTGAAATTTTTTGAATATCCTTTTTTTCGTTCTAATTGTAAACTGATGCTGTCGAACACGGTCCATTAAAGTAACAGCAGGAATTTGCAGCTAACAATAGAAAATGGAAATAAAAGATTCCTAAAAGCTATTTTAGCTAGCACAAAAGATAAAAAAGGTTTCCAACCGTAAGGCGCGTCCTTTAATCTTGTTTCTTCATGTATTCGACATCATTGGTTCCTAAGAAAACATTAGAAATGTATAGATACCTGAGCCTTAGGGCACAGCAGGGTTTCTTTACAATTGGGATAGGTCGAGTCGGGGTCTCGAAAGTTTATAAAGACAGAAACGGTTTTTGACTACCTAACATTTAAGAATCCGACTTGCATTTTAGGATCAAATGTTCGAGACGAAATCCAACGGTCAATTCAAAATCTTATTTTTCCCTTCTAATCTTGTACTTAAACTTTTAAATCTCATAATTCTATAGTACAATTTAAATATTATAATTTTTATGCAAAGAATCCTAAATATGTTTATGTGTCATCGAATTTTCAGGATCCTGACTCGAATCGCTTAATTTTTTGTACTCGTACACACGTAAACAAATTTGAACGTTGTTATATTTTCTTATTATTTTTATTCCATATTATTTTACAGAGCCTTGTATTTAAAATGTATCAACGCGAAGCATCCAGATCTTTATGGTCATTATCGGGAGGCAAAGTTTACACAAACGAAGCATCACTGGTGGTGGAAAGCCAATAAGGTCTTCGATCAATTAACAATAACGAAAAATCATACGGGTATGGTCCTATTCCTTGAGGAAGATCACTACGTAGCTGAAGACTTTCTTCATGTGTTGAGACTAATGGAACGCACCTGTAAACACAGCTGTGAACGTTGCAACGTTCTTTCCTTGGGTACATACCTCAAGACCTACAACTATTTCGCTGACTTCAGTCGTAAAGTGAGTAAGAATTCTAATAATAAGTCTAACTAAATCGAAATAAATTGAAACAATGTAAGTCTTTCTGCAACATCTATTGCGAGGAGTGGGCAATGGCCGATTTACACGCTGGAACACTATGCTTTATTCTAATACACTTTACACTCTTTTAACAAATATTACGTTCTCGTGTATTTCTTTTGAAATTGCATTTTATAATCGGGATGTTTTTTTCTGTATCAGAAAAAAACAAAATTAAAAAAAAAAGATCTGCGCCTAATTTTTTGTACATAAGCTCTGAACAAATCAAAACAAAACAAACGCTTTGAATTTTCGTTACTTCATTTACAGGATTTCATTTGATCACAACACATTTCCATATCATCGCTGAACTATCGTATCTTTGGTTTACCTTTTTACAACATTGTAAATTCACTTTACACATGTAAATACGATACTTGTTATTATCGATATTTAAATTTAATTTTTATTGTTATTAACTTAAAAATAAAAAAAAAAGAACGATATATATAACAAGTATCGTTGGAAACCTTCCCTCACGCAATAACGAGCGAGTATGCGAACAAATGAGACGTTGCAACTTGCTCGGAATGTTGACAACACCGTCACCACAGCACAGAAAGAAATTCACTCTGTTTGAAAAACAACAATCTCGTCTTCGTTTTCCTAATTGTTGAAGTGTTTCTCTCCAAATTCTCTCCAAATGTTCTCCAAATTCTCTCCAAATATTCTTCCCCTATTTTTCTTTCTTTTTCACTTCATTGTGAAAGGTATCTGTGTCGATGTTTCACGCACGCCCGATCCGTTAGTTCCTTGGCGTAAACGGCGCCTTACAAAAGGAACTACTACATGGATTAAAGAAGCACGAATCACCGGGACTGCAGAATCCTCTCATCAGTAGCAGTATTACCAGCAGCATCGGCAGTAGCAGCAGTAACAGCGATAGCAGCAGTAGCAGTATCAGCAGCAGCAGCAGCAACAACAACAATAACAACGTTGCTGTTGGCAACGTCGTTGGAGGACAAACTGTTGCTGGAGTGTCGACCTATCAGAGTTCTCAAATGGTGCATGCTGCACCTTCTTGGGCTTTCCAGCTCTTACCAAGTCTCTACACCCACTATCAGAAGGTTTTCAGACCCAGATGCAAAAACACACACAAAAACGGAATATTAGAGAATTGATTAGAGACATTACAATCCTCCTACAATCCCAATCCTATTTTTCTGATTATTATCTTCAAAATATCATCCTTTGCGAATCTGAGTTCGCATTTTGATCTTGCTTCTATGTCACCTGGCACTTCTTCTTATTATTATTTCGTATTATCTCAATTTACCTTTGTTTTTTTGCACGCTTTTATAATCCGCAGTTATTCTCTAGGGTATATATTAATTATTATCATTTTTATTCAACTAATAGGATCAACTGATATAACGCATAACCTTCATCCATCTTTTTTTACATAGAGAATATTATGTTTGATAATCCTTGTACTCGGAATGACACATCGAATAAGACAACCATGATCATTTCTAAGAACTGGAATTTATATTTTTGTTACGTACAATTGTCTCGTTCGATGTAACATTTCTTGCTTTTATTTTAGTCATCGTGTAGTTAACGCTATTATTTATTTTCTTCTGAAAAAGCATCTCATTATTCAAACGACACTAGAAATGTTCTTCGTTTGTCAATCGATATTTTGCTTGAACGAAATGTACAACCGAAGAACCCCACTTTTGTTTATTGTTTTCCTTTTCTTTTTTGCTATTCTCTACTTTATGCACAAGCGTTCCTTTCTCATCCCTCTTTTTTATTCATCGTCTGGGGCACTATGTTTCTTTTTTTTTCTCGATCGTTTGGTTTTTTTTTTCTACTAGCTAAATAACGATAAGGCAAGCCTCGTCAACGGCATATACGGTGTATCATAGATCGTATCATACGGAAGAGTGTATACAAGTTTAATTATTGATAATGATCTCTATATAGTCTTAGTAATCAATAAATGAGCCTTCCATAGGCCAAATCGATTAATTTCACAAAAAATAAAGTCAACAATATTGATAATGTCATGTGTATACTATCAAACTATTATATTTATTATTCAATTTTTCTTATTATTGATATTAATTTCTGAATTAACGAGTAATACGGAACTTGATGCATATAAAATTAAGAATTCAATATTTACATTATTATCATTTCAATGGAATTGATATAAAATATTATAGGATAATATTTAAATAATAAGTAAGTAGTTGTGTTAAATATAAACAAAATTATGTCTTCCAGATATCGTAATATAGAAAGAAATTAAGTCTAATTATTATAAATCAAATGCTTGATGATAAATCAAGTGCAGAAACAAAAAAATTGGTATTAATCACTTTGGCCTGTTAACTAACAGCTCAAATATTGATCGTATTCAATTTAGTACAGTTTCTTGATGGGCGGTACGAAAAGGAACGTATATTTCTAATCGATAAAGATAATAAACAAACAAAATAATGAAATCGATCGTTACCGTTCCTTTTCCACGAACGTCTTTTAAATGAAATCTTGCCGAATCATAGATTCTAACATCGATCATTCTTCTTGACAACCTAGGCTGAGGTAATACCCTGGATATCGAGTAAACACAATATGGGTATGGCCTTTAATCGGGTCACGTGGAACAAACTGAGAAAGTGTGCCGCTCAATTCTGCTCGTATGACGATTACAATTGGGATTGGAGTCTTCAGCATATCGCTCAAACTTGTTTACCACCGAGCAAAGGGGCCGGTGCTGCACCACGCATTGATTCCGGCCTGATTACTATGATGATGAGAGCTCCCAGAGTCTTCCACATTGGTGAATGGTAAAATCAATATCAGAATTATTTAAAATCTTTTTTTTTTTATGTGCAATTATCCAGAATAAAATATTATTTATTAATCCAATACACACTAAATTGATTATTGTCTGCATTCGGTTGTAAAAAAAAAAATATAAATTGTGATTGATTAAAATATAAAAAGGTATAAATAAATTCCTGCAACCTTAATTTAAATACTTCAATAAAAATAGCAAATATTAAAAAAAAAATATTAAATACACTGTTAAACATATTTTCCTATACATCTTAGAAACTAATTGTAAGACCAAGTGGTTACAAATATCATGAAAAATATTCCAAATTTTGATCTTAAACACTTCATGATTCCTATTCTGCATAATTATCAATTGTTGCTGTCATAATAAATAGATAAATAATGTTTCAGCGGTGTTCATCACAAGAAGAATAATTGCGAGTCAACGGCGGTTATAGCAAAAGTTCAAAATGTATTGAGAGCTGCTAGGGATCATCTATTTCCATCGCAATTAACCTTAACGGTTGCTGGTCTGGCAAAAAAGACTAAATTGAGGAAAGGTAACGGCGGATGGGGAGATGTTAGGGATCATCAGCTCTGTTGGAATATCACGATGTACCCGGACCTTGTCCTGCCTTAAAACATTTCATCAAAAACAAAATAAATAAAGAAACATAAAGAACATCCCAAATAGGGTGTTCATCATTATAAAAGACAACGTACTATTACATACTACTTAAAAAAAAAAAAAAAAAAGAAACAGAAAAGAAATTTAGATGCCAGCTGTACTTACCAATTGATTGTTCGTATATTCCAACACTTGTTGTCATCGACACACAGGAATCGTTTCTATATCGTTTCATAAATCGGATCAGTGAACGTGTTGGTCCAAGAAAAGACTCTATTTCTACGATACGAACTCGATTTTTGTTAAGTATCGAGCTTGTTATTTTAAATATGCGTCTTTCAAATCGTGATCTCTGGAATGAGAAGAAAAAAACAAACCAACAAATATGTCTATCGAAATTTGTATGAATGTACGTCACCATAGTGTATATCTGCAAATGAGAATAACGAATTTATAGTATACATATATATAATATATATGTAAACATATTTATATATGTGTGTGAGTGTGTGTATTGAGAGCTAAAAAAGCTTTCTATATTTCGTTAAAACAAAAAAAAATGGCGGATATCACTAAAACGTGATTACTACTCACATGAGGATTACGTTTCCTCCTATTACGTTTAGATAAATTGTTGAGTGTTAATAAATCCTTCCTAATTTGAAAAACACGACGTTGACATCACTGCGAGAGAATCGTTAACAAAAAAAAGATTAATATAAAACATAAAGTTTAACTATTAAAGATGATGATGATGATGATGATGATGAATTCCACCCCCATACGATTTATCGATTCTTTCCCAATTAAAAATCGTGATTTTTCAATGCTGACATTTGTTATTAATAGTTATGTAAACAATTAATTGTTATATTAGTGACTTATATAAAAAAACAAAATAATCGTTGTTTAACGTATCTCAACACCATGTAATACGTTCCTATTTTTCGATGATACACAACTTTCAAGAAGAAATGGAAGTTTGTAACAAGAAATGTGTTTTTTGTGTCCTTTGGCATGGAGTAGGAGGAAGATGAAGAAGAGGATGATAAATAATAATAATTATTGTTTAACAATTTTGCATCGAAGAGTATAGTCGGGCCAGCAAAGAGACTTTTTCAAAGAATTTCGAGTTTCCGAAAGTCACACATAGGCCGAAGTTTGCCCCGAAATGCGCACATACATTGTAACTCTAGTCACAATAAACATTTGACGATATTTCATTCCATTAACAATCAACCATTTTTATTTTTATTTATAACTATTTATATATTTATTTATTTTTAAATCATATATATATATATATATATATATATACATACTGCATGATTAAATTCATTACCGAAGTATTCGAAGGAAATTAGCAAAATTAATATTATTTTTTATATATTTTTGTCATTTAGAAATTTATTATATTCATTTAAATGTGTTCTGCAGTCATTTAATAATATATAGTCATTTAAAAATTAATAAATATTAAACGTTTAATTTAAAACTGAAAATAATCAGAGTAATTTGACTTTTCATACTTAATGATCAATAATGATCAATAATTGTGAAAATTTTAAATATTGTTTTGAGCAAAAGTTCGATACAATAAATAAATTATTACGATATGATTATTATTGATTTAAGTATAATAAAAATGAAAATAGTTGAAAATGTTCATCGAATGAAATATTATCTAACAACTACTAGTCATTATGTAATAACCTATCGATAAAAAAAATGGAAAAAAAAAAAACTAATTGTATGAAAATAATCAATTTTGTAGGAGGTAAACGCTTAGACTAAGAATTTATTACTATAGAAAGGGATGTGCTCAAGACATCTTTAAAAAACGTAACTCATCTCGAAGAAGAAAAAAAGAGAGAGAGAGAGAGAGAAATAGGATTATAATATCGTGTACATTTTATATTTATAACGATAAAAATGAGATGAAAATAAAAGCGGATTAATAAAAAGAAGAAAAGGAAAATAAAAAAAAAAATAAAAAAATTAGTTAAGGTCAATATAATATGAAGGAAATATACATACATCGAAGAACTAACGTTCTTATTTCAATTATTATTATTATTATTATTACTATTATTATTATTATTATTATTACTTTTATTATTATTATTATTATTATTATACTTTTCATATAAGAAAAAAGAGAAGACAATAGAAGACGAGATATGAGATAACTCACAGTATAAAATATGAAAACTTTATAATCCTAAACGTTTATGATAAGAAGGTACGTTATCGTCGTATTCAACTTTCATGAAGTTCCCTGCTATTGGTCCCTCCAAACTATATTTTTCCACGAACTTCTTCGTTGAAAATCGACTACGGAATCTGCCATCCCTATAATTTATATCAAATATTTAATATGAATTAGAGCATGGAATTTTAAGTATGATTACAGAATGAATATTATTTGTGTTGTTCAAAGGACAAAAATTAATTCCATTTCTAAAATGTTCTTTAAATTTTAAAGCCAAAGAATTGGATTGTTATTTAATTATTATGTTAAATAATAAATTATAGGACAATGTATGTAATTTTATTAATTTTTTGTACTTTTTATTCTGTAGAGTTAATTAATTTGGCTAACGAGTGACTCATTTATTGGGTCAATATTTTTTTTTTAATATTTTTAGTTAATATTTTAAATGAATGATCAATAATTATAATAAAATATAAACTGACGTAACCCTAAAAAAAAAAAACACTATTTATAAATTACTATTAATCATTTATTTGAAATACTAATAAATTATTATTTAATACTGAACATAAAAAAAAAAAATATTCATATATATATATACTAAGTTTTTTATTTTACAAAATACCATTAATTAATCAAAAATACTGACCAAATAAATAGAAAAATATTAACACACACATAATAGTATTCTAAATAATAATTAATTATACATACCGATTACTCAATCTTCTCTCGTCAAAGGTAATAGCCCCTTGATTTTGTTTATACAGAAGAAAAACGTAACGATGCTTTCCAGTATCTTTGGGTGGAGCTGGTCCTACGTATTCAGCAATAATTTCACCTTTAGCAACATTTTCTTCAGGTATGTTTCCAACTATCCAATGACGGAACTCTCGGTTGTATCCTCTTGTTGGAATATCAGGATCTATGAAACAATAAGAAAAGAAATATCAATTGGAAGTTATTTTACGATTACGTAGTTGTGAGTTTCATACTGAAAGAAAGTATTGCAGATTATATAAAACATGGTTCAATGTCCTCGTTTTACAAACATGATTAATTTACTGAAATATTAATACTGTGAATAGTGAACATTTTTTGATAATGGATTCAAATTAAATAAGAAATATTCTCTGTGCTTAATTTCTTCATCAATAGTAGTAAAAAAAGAAAATTAAATAAAAATTATAGTGCAATTTTCTTTAAAATTAATCCGAATGTGCCTGCTGTTTAAGCAATGCATTACTTAGATAATGAAGATTTTCTTAAAAGAATCTTCTAAAAAATTTATTCTATATCTAATTTTTAATCAACTTTTCCTGAAGGGTCACTGAATAATCCACAAATTGTTCACACATTTAAAGATTCTCTAGAAATAAAATATAAATAAATAATACTCTATTAATCTAGTAGCTAATTTTACACATATTTTTAATATTGCAAAGATTTGAGATCTTATTTTTTAAAATTAATTTACCAAACTTTAGTTAAAATTCAGGGATCACCTAAACTTCTTTTGCAATTTATAAAATGACTCACAGATCATGGAATCTCATATAAAACATCTAATTCTTTTATAATCAAATTTAAACGGATGATTCGCGAATGGAAAGGTGACGACATTTAACATTTTCTCATTTACGGATTTCAATAGATCAAAAGTAATGAAACGAAGTCGAGCGTGCAAACAGGTTTCGAAGCTGGTGAAAGTAGTTTGTCTCTTCAATGATCTAAGGTCATTCAAGTGTCGTGTCACTCCTTTCGTGCTTCTTCGAAAAAAGAAAGGATTAAAAAAAACAACAATAAGAAGATTTAAATCCATATAACTTAATACTTAAGTATATTGGAAACACTTAGAAATTAGATGTAAAATAAAAAAAAAGATTGCTTTAATAATTAAAAATAATGTTTTAGTCTAAAAATTATTTTTTTATTTTATATTATTATTATTATTTTTAATGATGAAATTTAACAGGGAACTTGGACATGAAAGAAGTAGAACTATGTTTGATTTAGTTGGACGTTTCGTCCCTTTATTGGGACTTC